TTTGGCAAAAGTAAAAGAGGCAATTAATTGACTTAATATTTTGGGCCATTGTCAAAACGTCAACCGATGTGTTGATGCTGTAACAAAAGCTTCATTTTTTTTTTTTTCCGAATTGGATAGGGAAACAATTATAAATATATTTTGAATTTCCTTCAATCACGAAAGAAAATATCTAAGATTGATAGTAAATGTCAATGAAAATCAATATATCGATTATTTTATTATTGCTTTCCTAATTGATTTTCAGTCAACAAGATTAAGTAAACCGCATTTTATTCAAATAATTCACACTTTTCAAATAATAAATTCTATTCCAACCACTCTACAGAATCTATGAAAACATCGTTCCACATTTTGAGCCACACCTAAGTATATATATATATATATATATATATATATATATATATATATATATATGTATATTAAGACATTTTTATGTTTATACATTCTTTTTAGAGATACAAATGTTTAAGTAAATGCTATAAAAAGAATGTATAAACATAAAAATGTTTTAAAATAATTTTCGGACTTTGTCCATTTCATAATATATATATAATATATATATATATATATATATATATATATATATATATATATGTGTGTGTGTGTGTGTGTGTGTGTGTGTGTGTGTGTGTGTGTGTGTGTGTGTGTGTGTGTGTGTGTTTGTATGTATGTAAAATATATAGGTTAGTTAATAAAACAAGGATAAACGAAAGCGTACCAATATAATGAGTATGATAAACATTTGTTAAATAGTAATTATTAACTATAGGACAGAAATGAATCACAGAAAGAAAAGTTAGGAATTTTCGGACACGCCTGTGTCCTTCATCAGTGAATCAAGAAATAAACAGAGAAATGCGAATTACTCAATAACACACACACACACACGCACAAGCACACACACACACACGCACATACACACACACACACACATATATATATATATTCCATTTTTTTCTCCTCATTTCCTTTCACATAAATGTTGTTCTAAACACAGTTCCGCTTTCTAAACTTGGACAATTTGGTCGGACAATTTATTTTGGCTGAAACTGGCTAAACGCGAGACGTCTTTCCCCCTCCCCAACTTATAACATTCTTGTTTACAATCTCACACCCCCACTCTCCCCACTAGTAATAATAGACTTGCCTAACGCTTTTTCACCGATCAAAATTTTAAATTTATTTTCGTAATAGGGAATCAGACAGAGATCGGAATTTTTTCTAATAATATGATTACCACCAGAAAATACACCGTCTACAAAAACATCTGTCGGTGAGCAATTCCCATTTCTCTGTTTATTTCAAGGCGTGTCCGAAAATTCCGAAATTAAAACCTTTCTCTCCGCGCTTCATTACTGTAATATGGTTAATAATTAATATTTAATAAATGTTTATCATACTGATTATATTGGTACTCTTTCGTGTCCCTGTTTGATTAACTAACCTATCTATTTTACATATTATAAGAAGTACATCTTTTCTTTTAATATCTTTCTATCTATCTATCTATATATATATATATATATATATATATATATATATATATATATATATTGCGTCTATTTCGGTAGCATGTTTTTCATTGAGGTATGTTTCATGAAATATTTTACACAAGTTTAGTCTATTTTTTCAATTGGATTCTTTCATATTCACGGACAAGCTATTTTGTGTCATTATTAAAAGAAGAGAGAAAATTACCGTGTTGATACATATTATTTTATTCCTAGTACATTCGACATAGCATACTGTCATCATCAGCGTGTTGTTTCTTTCAAGACAAAGATTGTAGAGTTTATCATTTTTCAGACAAAATTGCTATTTTCATCTGAAAGTTAACGTTTTTTTTTTACTTGTACTTTGATTAGCTTGAGTAACGCTTCAGCGGAGGTAACTAAGTTATGGTGTTGTCGAGAGTTTTCTAAGAAATAAGTATAACAACTATTAGTACAAACCTCGATATTTGATGATGACATTGTGCTAGGACTGATATGGAAAATTACAGTTAAGAAATTCTGTATATATAAAATAAAATATATATATATATATATATATATATATATATATATAATATTATAAATTAATTGATTTAAAATATGTTTTTTTTTCGCTACACAGTTCTAACCATGTTTCAAAAATGGAAGCTGAAAGCTTCGAATTTAATTTTGTAATTAAATTAAAGACATTAGTTATGATTTACTGTGTCTTTAAAACCCAGTAATTTAAAAGTTACTCTAAAATTCGCTTGAGTATGAAATGGAACTAATTTAATTTAATTACAAAATTAAATTCCAAGCTTTCAGCTTCCATTTTTGAAACATGGTTAGAACTGTGTAGCGAAAAAGCATTTTAAATCAATTAATTTATAATATTAATGCTCTGTAAATTTACATTGAGCACTATTTTGTAAAAATAAAATATCTATAAGAACACCGGATTATATATCTTACTGTTCTTTCTTTATATATATATATATATATATATATATATATATATATATATATAATACAGCAAAGTATTTGTTACACAACGAAATACTTGCTGACAACACCAATATACTACACCACGAAAATAATAAACAAACACTTCAAATATTCGAGGCTCTCTATATCAAAATCAACCATCCAAGACTCAACAAAATTTATTACGAATATATCAACAACATATTAAACTGCATATAACATTTTATGCTACTTTACATTTATATCACCTTCCAGTCAGCTTCCCTATATTGAAACGCGTGTTTTGAAAAAAAAAACAAACTTACAAGGCTACATAAATTTTAAATTTATCCGTTGTAGCAATGATGTTATTTTTTTATTTATCATTTTTTAAACAAGCGTCAACAATGTAAGGGAGATAACCACAAAAAAAACATGGCGTTAAACGTCGGTCAAATGCATTTTAAAATATTTTCAATGATTTGTATTTACAAGGATATTTTAAAATTAAAAGGCATTAAAATTAATTCGAAATTTTCAGTTACGCTTTTATTTACGATAGATGTGAAAATACATGCAAGAGAATAGAAATTTTAAAAATACACACATGTATAGCATTTCAGTAATCGTAATCGGGAATAAGAATTATTACCGTTCGTTTTTACTTTTTAATTCTGAAAACTTCGAATGCATTTTAATTTTAGAATTCGTAAATACAAATCATACAATATTTTTTTTTATTTTACACAAAGCTGCACTGGGTGATAATGAGCCTGTATATAAATTTACTTTGTCGTAAATTATTGCAGTTTGTTAGTTTTAACCGGACACACACACATACACACGACTGCCTTTGTATATGTATAGATATATGACTGAAAAATATCTGTAAATTGTCAACAATAAACTATTGTTCAGAGATCTTCCGAGCAACGCAGCCTATCCCCGCCAGTATATATATATATATATATATATATATATATATATATATATATATATATATAATGATTTTCTAAGCCCGGCTTAGATGTGGCACAAGGCCGAATGTATGGAGCACCCAGTGAGGATGGAACTCACTACTCAGTCGGAATTGATCTAGCAATACAAGCTTTTAACCATTACACCATATATATATATATATATATATATATAATGATTTTCTAAGCCCGGCTTAGATGTGGCACAAGGCCGAATGTATGGAGCACCCAGTGAGGATGGAACTCACTACTCAGTCGGAATTGATCTAGCAATACAAGCTTTCTAACCATTACACCATATATATATATATATATATATATATATATATATATATATATATATATATATATATATATATATATATATATATATATATATGGTCAATGCATATATATATATATATAATTAATATGTGTGTGTGTGTGAGTGAGTGGTATTTCGACATCTTGCTCGATGATGAAGATCACTGACTCGAAAGTCAATGGGAAACTATTACACTCCCGACTAATAATGTTAACAATCTAGGTACAATCTGCTGTTGTTGCTTTTTTATTCTGATGACAATGATCTTCAAATACTGAGAAGAATTACTAGTGTGCGCGAAAGAGAGAGAGAGAATCAAGACGTGGGTGTCGAGGAAAGAAAGAACTGACAGATGAGAGCTTCAAAGAAAGTTATTAAGAACTGCGTATGGACAAAAGAAAGAAAGAAAGAAAGAAAGAAAGAAAGAAAGAAAGAAAGAAAGCTGACAGAGAGAGTTTTCAAAGAAATATAGTAGGAACAAACTGAGTATGGACAAAAGAAAGAAAGAAGGAAGGAACTAACAGAGAAAGATAGGGTTAAATGAAAAGAAAGAAAGAAAGAAAGAAAGAAAGAAAGAAAGAAAGAAAGAAAGAAAGAAACAATATCAACTAAAGTAAAAATAAAAAAATTTCCCTAAATTAAAACGAACACATCAAAGCTTAGGAAGTTTACAATAAAAAAAAAGAAAAGAGAAAAAAAAAAAAAAGAAAAATTGGATAAATTTTCACTGCCAAGAGAAAAAAAAAAACTTAAAACGAAAAAACTTTAAAAATAAAAATAAAAAAATAAAGATGAACAGAGCAATCAAGCGCCATTTTTCCGGAAGTCGGCGGCTTGTCATCAAACGGATGTCACCCACGCCGGAACGCAACTTAATGTCAGACAGCAGATCGCAACAAATCGATTTCCGGTCACGTGGTGTTGGCTCTCAGCGAGTAATCAACGTCAACATACAAGTTTTTCACTATTTTCTTTTCTTTTTTTTTAAACTATTTCTTTTTGCGATATCGGCTTTCATTTGTTTTTCTGCTTCTTGAATTGTCGAAGTTTGCCGCCGTGTTTCACTCTACCTCAAGTATCCGCTTTTTTTTTTCGCCACGATTGATTCTTTAACAGTCGTTACATCTTTTACACAACTGTTTGTCCGCCTATCGACTACTTCTCTGGCGCAAAAGTTCGCTTATGGCCAGAAGTGACATAAACTGTTTTCCTCATTTTAGATGCGATCACGTGCTTGGTCTCGGGGATTCCAGCTCTGTTGGCAGCCGTGGATCCAAGCTTACAGCACCTGGTATTCCCTAGCGGTCACCCATCTAGATATGGACCAGGCTCGACGTTGCTTAACTTCGGTGATCCTTGGGGAACTGAGGCCCCAAAGTGATATGGCCGTAAGCAATACCTAGGACACTCCACGAAATCGCTAAAAAAAATAGCACAGCATAATGAAAAAGACGCCAAACTTGAGGAAAACAAAATTTTATCGTCTAAATGTTCATGTTATTATAAAGAGGAAAGACCAAAGTTTTTTTTAATTATTTTTAAAAAGTTTTCTTTCCTTTTAGAACCTTCTAAAATTTGATTATAAAAACCTTGCTTCTCTTTGTATCAGCGGAACTAGTAAATAACATGCTGAATGCTGAAAGTTGTTTTTTTTTACTTTAATAATTACGAGGTACTACATAAGCTGGTTCATGTAAAAAAAACGTTACGTCAATTATGTCCTTCCGTATGATAACTCGAATCTCACGTTAGCTGTCGATATGTGATGACAGCATTCATTCGTCACTTGTCAACAGCCAACGATCGCCTCCTTTTTATTTTAAACAACATTTTTCTTTGAAGAAAGTAAGCAAACGTTTTTTTTTTTTCAAAATATATTAAATAATCTTTAAATTTGCTAATTTTCGTCAAATAAAAAAAAACGTATAATCGATTTTTGGAAGAATTTTAAACTAGGATTTGAACTTAGTTTACAAAATTTTAAAAAATGGCTGATATCGAGTTTTTTTAGTAATTTCGCTGACAAAAAGAAAACAAGATTTTTGACTAAAATTTTGGACATTCTAAGAATGAGTAAAAAAATTTTTTAAAATAATAAAAAAAATACTTTGGTATTTCTTCTTCACAATGATATATATGTGGTGTACAGCGTACCCGGATTAAAAGGAGAATTTAATACGGGATACGCTTCCCACAAAATACAACGCAAATTTCAAGAAAAGACAACACGATAAGGAACGTTTGTAGAAAATAGAACATTGTATATTTAATGTCATTCATGCAGAATAAACAAATTTGTATATTTTTATATCTTGTGAATAGAGTAAAAAAGATTAATGCTTTAGTTCGTTTAAGCAAATGTGATTTGAACATAAAATGTCTATGTGTTCGCTGTCTTTCAACAGAGTAGTAGAGTGATGTCTGTTTCTTTTGTTTTTGTGTATCCGCCGAGTGGGTAGAAAGGCAAAAGGGGCGATCAATTTAAGTTGAAAAAGAAAGTGTGAATGAGAAATAAAAGATAAGAGGAAAATGTACTTATCGGGTTGAATTGTTTTGGAGTCAGTTGTAAATTTGTTGTTGTTGTTGTTGCTTTCCTTTCCTACCCCACTTTCTGCTCTTAGTGTCGGGTTGAGTCAGTGACGGACCTGACTGTCAGTCTTCTGTCCTCTATGATCTTTGCGCCCTTCTGACTGGTGATTGACTTGAAACTCTCTATTTATAGCTGACCTTTTTTTCACACTGGATCGTTATCTTTTTTTTAGTTTAGCAAATCGCCTCCTTTCGTTGGTCAGAAAATTAATTTCACACCTTATTGCGAAATCTGTTTTTAGTCGTTTTGACCCGATTTTGCGGGTGTGCAAATCTACTTTGTGTTTTTCAGTTATTTGTTGGAATGATATAGGATCTGTATCCTATAAACACCCCTGCAGATTGATGAATATTGAAAATATTTCTCAATATCTAATATATGTTTTAAAATGAGTAGGCCAGTGTACGTGTCTACCCGATCTTGTGGTAATGTTTTTAGATGTCTTTGGAGGTGTAGAAAATATTTCACTTACGTTGGTATTTGTCTCGGCTGTAGAATGTTCCGACGTACTTTCCTTTGTAGGTAAATCCAAGTACGCTGGTTTTAGTCTGTCTATAGAGACAGTGTCTTGCTTGCCTTTTGCTACAATTGTGAAATATTTGGGTTTTCTGTTGACTACTTGGAAAGGTCCCGTATAAGTAGGACAAAGAGGCCTTTTTACTGTGTCGTTTCCTACGTAAACATATTCATTGTGGAGGTCTTTTGGGGTGTAAAGGTATTTTGTTTGTGTTCTAGTGGGTGTGAAAACTAGTTTTCATTCTTTGCTTAAATCTTTGTACAAAAGATGTAGTTTGTTGGAGTTGACTAGATTTATCACAAAACTGTACTGGTAACGTCAAGGACGTTCCAAAAACCATTTCAGATGCTGTACATCTTAAATCTTTGATTACATTCCGGATGGATAGTAATATTAGCGGTAGATTTTCTAACCACGTCTTGGAATCATTATTTGCTCTTAATGCTGTCTTAAGTTGCCTGTGGAAACGTTCAATTAAGCCATTGGCACATGGGTGATAAGCCGTTGTTGTTATATGCTTAACTCCCAATAGTTTTGTGAACTCATCAAAGAGCGTAGAATGGAACTGAGAACCTCGGTCTGTTGTTATTACTGAGGGACAACCAAAAACGGCAATCCACTCCTGTAATATACTTTTAGAGATCGTTTCTACAGATATATCCCTTAGAGGAACAACGACAGGCCATCTTGTGAATCGGTCAATAATAGTGAGTAGGTAACGATTTCCGTTTGCTTCTGGTAAGGGACCCACTATGTCAATGTGAAGATTCGTGAATCTACCATCTGGTTTTAGAAAATGCCCAGGAGGGGACTTAGTATGGCTGTTTACTTTGCTTTTTTGGCACTTTAAACAAGTTTAAGTCCAGCTTTTTATGTCAGTATGCATGTTTGGCCAGACAAAACGACTGCTAATCAACTTGTCGGTTGCTCGGTGTCCGGGATGTGAGAGATTGTGAAAATGCAGAAATATCTTTTTTCTCAATGAAGGTGGAATATATGGTCTTGAATAACCAGTCCCAACGTCACAGAGTAGTGTTTTTGTTCCAAATGGGACGGGGTGTTCCTTCAATTGTAAAGAAGTGTCCTCTTTTATTTTGTATAATGTGGTATCTTCCTTTTGTTCATCTGCAATGAGATCGAAGGTAAGGGTTTCAGAATCGATAGATTGTATCGTGGAGCGCGAGAGTGTATCTGCCACGATATTGTCTGAACCTTTAATATAGCGGATATCCGATGTAAATTGGGATATGTAGTCCAGTTGTTGGGTATCTCTGGGTGTGTATTTATCTGTGTTCACATGTAAAGCGTAAGTGAGGGGTTTGTGGTCTGTGAAAACAGTAAAATTTCGTCCCTCGAGCAGATGTCGAAAATGCCTTATTGCTATGTAAATAGCTAGTAACTCTCTCGAGAAGGTACTGTACTTCTGCTATGCTTTGTTTAATTTGACCGAGAAGAAGGAGATTGGCTTTTCTGAACCATTTAGCTTCTGATGTAGAACTGCTGCAATTGAATCTCCTGAGGCGTCAGTTGTCAATGTAAGTGTTGAGTTAGCATCGTCACTGGTGTAAGAGAGTTTGGTAAAATCTGCTAACGCTTTTTTAGCATTTTGAAATGCAGCTAACGCTTCTCCGTCGATCAGTATTTTTGTATTTTTCTTCTTCTGTTATTGCAGCAAGTTTGTGAGTGGGGTCAAAATTCTGGAACCACCTGGAATAAATCTACGGTAGTAATTTATTAAACCGAGAAATCGTCTTAATTGACGCAGTGATGTCGGCTGCAGAAAGTTTTGTATTGCTGCTACTTTCTCTGGGACAGGTGTGATTCCGTTTTTGTCGATCACATGGCCCAAGAAATTTAACTTTGAAACAGCAAAATCGCATTTGTGGACATTTATCTTTAAGCCAAAATGTGCCAGTCTCTCGAAGACTTGTTGAATATGGTATAGGTGTTCTTTTCCATCACGACTGGCGATAAGCACGTCATCGATATATGCAAAGGTAAAAGTCAATCCTCTCAAAACTTCATCAATGAGTCTTTGAAAGGTTTGGACGGCATTACGTAACCCAAATGGCATCCTGGTGAATTCATAGAGTCCAAAAGGAGTGGTAATTGCAGTTTTCCTTGTGTCTTCTTCTGCTTCTGGAATTTGGTAGTACGCCTTAACCAAATCCAATTTTGTAAAAAATGTGGTTCCTTGCAAACCTATGGCGAAATCATGTAAGTGCGGTATAGAATATCTATCAGGAACAGTTTTTGCATTGAGATTCCTAAAATCCCCACAAGGTTTCAGAACCATATGTAGCGGAGAGGAGTATGGGCTATTTGAAGGACGTATGATGCCTAACTGCAACATATGTTGAACTTCGTCTTTTGCTATTTTACATTTATCCGGATGTAATCTGTGTGGTGATGCGTGTGTAGGTGGTCCAGCTGTGGTGATATAATGTTTAGCAGTGTGACGGATTTCATCTGTATGAAACAGGCGCGGTTAGTGTAGGAATTTTTTTTAATCAATTCATGTAGGCCATTAGTCGTTGGTATTGCTGAACTAATTCCTGTTGACTTGTAGATTGAGGTGATTCCCTTTGTTCTTAGGTTTGTGTTACTGTCAATGAGAGACTGTGTAGCCATATTCACTGATAAATCAAAATGGGATAGGAAATCCGCTCCTAGGATAGGTGTTTTCACATTTGCTTGTGTGAAAATCCATAGAAAAGATTTTCTTAGACCCAAATCGAGCGTTAGTGATATCTCACCGTATGTTTCTATCTTTGATCCATTTGCTGCCTGTAATGTGTATGTGGAGAATGTAGGGTTTTGTTTTGTATTTGGTGGGATAACACTGATCTGATCGCCGGTGTCGACTAAAAATAAATATCCGTTACTTCTGTCCCGGATGTAAAATAAACGGCTCTCTTGTTTTAATCCAGCAGCTAATGTCGTCTTTACTTGCTGCTGGCATAGTCGTTTCCCTGGTGTTGTGTAGAAATGTGAGAAGTTTTCGAATTGAAATTGCATGGTTCAGTGCACTTCCTTGCATTTCTTCCAAATTTATAATGATACCAACAGGTATCGTGTGTAATTTGGTCTCTGGAGAAAGAGTTCGATCTACATCGACGTCTGTGTGGTGAGTAGGATCTATTTCTGAATGTTGGACGAGAACGCTGAGATTTCTGTGCTTGTACCAGACTCTGTACTTGTAAGCTGATATTCACCATTTGCTTATACAGCTGCGACAATTCAGATGACTTGTCTGGTAATGTTGCTGTATCTGTTGGTGCATGTGATGTGGCGTATACATTTTTGTCTTGGTTGTTGTCATGTATTTTGTCTGCTATTTCTGCTATTTTCTCCAGCTGTAAATCATCGGGGAGTGATGCGAGTATCTGTGTTGTATGTGTTTGTAGTTTATCCATCCACAGTTTCTTTAACACCACTTCGGACATGGTGTTGTCTCCTAATAAGGATTGCATTTTTCTTAAAAGCTGTGAAGGTTTCATATATCCCTGGTTTACATTATTGAATAAGTCGTGTAACCCTCTTTCCTCCGATTTACCGACACGTCTAATAATTGCAGCTTTCAACGTGTCATGAGGTTTTTCTTCCGGCATGTCATTAAGTAGATCCACTACCTCGGATGCTACATCTGCGAGAAGTTTTTCGACAACGTAGGCGTATTTTGAACTTTACGATGTAATTTTCTTTGCATTGAAAATTGCATTTAACTGTGCAAACCAAATTTGTACGTTAGTTGGGTTGTAAGTTGGTAAGTTAATTGTTATAGCGGCTTCCATAGGTTCCGTAGTGTGTGTATCCATTTTCTATGTGTCTTGATGATTATGGTTATATGTTAAAAAATGTGTTGCTTATTTTGTTGAAGCTTTTTTTCAGTTGGAAATTTGCGAGTTCATTTCACGTCGATTGGTCACCAATTGTGGGGTACAGCGTACCCGGATTAAAGGACAATTTAATACGGGATACCCTGTCCAAAATACAATGCAAATTTCAAGAAAAAACAACACGATAAGGAACGTTTGTAGAAAATAGAACATTGTATATTTAATGTCATTCATGCAGAATAAACAAATTTGTATATTTTATTATCTTGTGAATAGGGTAAAAAAAGATTAATGATTTAGTTCGTTTAAGCAAATGTGATTTTGAACAAAAATGTCTATGTGTTCGCTGTCTTTCAACAGAGTAGTAGAGTAATGTCTGTTTCTTTTTTTTTTGTGTAGGTGTAAAGGAAAAGGGGCGATCAATTTAAGTTGAAAAAGAGAGTGTGAATGAGAAATAAAAGATAAGAGGAAAATGTACTTATCGGGTTGAATTGTTTTGGAGTCAGTTGTAAATTTGTTGTTGTTGCTTTCCTTTCCTACCCACTTTCTGGTCTTAGTGTCAGGTTGCGTCAGTTGACGGAATTTGACTGTCAGTCTTCTGTCCTCTATGATCTCTGCGCCCTTCTGACTGGTGATTGACTTGAGTCTCTCTTTATAGCTGACTTTTTTTTCACACTGGATCGTTATCTTTTTTTTTTTTGGTTTAGCAAATCGCCTCCTTTCATTGGTCAGAAAATTAATTTCACACCTTATTGCGAAATCTGTTTTTAGTCGTTTTGATCCGATTTTGCGGGTGTGCAAATCTACTTTGTGTTTTTCAGTTATTTGTTGGAATGATATAGGATTTGTATCCTATATATATACTTAAGTAGATCATTTTTTTTCATCAAATTTAAGGTCGTTCTTGTCATGCTATGCTCTTTTTATTGATTTTCATGGAGTTACCTAACAATACCACACTCATATCCAAGCTTACAGTACCTGGTATTCCCAAGCGGTCACCCATCTAGCTACTGACCAGGCTCGACGTTGCTTAACTTTGGTGATCCTTCGGGAACTGGCGTCCCAACGTTACATGACAGTAGCCCATAATAAACGCTCATCCAAGCTTATAGTACCTGGTATTCCCAATCGGTCACCCATTCAGGTACTGACCAGGTTCGTTGTTGCTTAACTTCGGTGATCGTACGGCAACTGGTCTCTCAATGTGATGTGGTCGTAAACCAACAGAAAAAAAAATGTCATTGAAATAAGTCACGGATATTTTCCATTAATTCACTCCAAAATTTCTATTTCCTAAAATTCAGACCAAATTCTCCCAGAGCGAGGCCCTTCCATTTGCACCTCTGTTTGGCTTAACCTTTGCGATCGCCCCAAATGAAGGCCAGTCCGGTGCGCTATTTCTAAGTGTGTTGTCTCCATTCACACCGATAAACAAACCAAGTACAGATTTTTTTTTAATCGTAAAGAATTCAAATATCATCCCGCCTTACGAAATTTGAATAACTTCCTGATTTTTGGTAATTTTGCATTCTAAGGGTTGGAGTTGTTGTGAGGCACGCTAAACAAATTTTGATTTAATCCAAAATTTCTGTAACATGAACTATAGAAAATTATGTCTCTTTAATTGAAAAAATGACACAGTGACCCACTGATATTTACACACACACACACACACACATATATATATATATATATTTCAAATTAATGAATAAACATACTTTTCATATATTTAATTAATTAATTATTTTTTTTACTATTAAAAGCTGTTTCTAGATTTTTTTGACGATTAAATTCTAATGCTGGAAATATTTACTGTAAAAATGTATTTTGATACTTTCATAGTGTTTTGACCCCAGTTTGGGGGTTCAATATCTGCCCATAACTGGGACCCTAACGGGTACTACCACCATGGGTCATCTTCACGTTTTTGAATGAATTATCTATGCTACCTATAATCTACTTTTGGTTGATAGTGATTTTAAAATTGCTTGTGGAATTAATAATCAACAGTTGTATTTTGTTACATTTTAATCTTGTATGGACTTTATATCCTTTATACTCATTTGGATAACATTGTTAATATATATATATATATATATATATATATATATATATATATAAAAGTGAACAAATATAAGTCAACACTTAGATGACGACATTCTGTTTCATGTTGGACTTTAATCGTCAGGCGTGACGATTGCGTCTACAATGAAACAGACTGGACCACTAGAATTGTTGACATTTATGTTAACATATATATATATATATATATATATATATATATATATAATGTTACTGTGTAGGGTGATATATTTATATTTATTGCTATGTGCGTATGTATGTATGTATATAGGTATATATATATATATATATATATATATATATATATATATATATATATATATATATGTGTGTCTGTATGTATATTTATGTATGTTTCTTATTTGTAGTGATGAATGTGTGCATACATACGTATGTATGTATTTATATATATATATTTATATATTTATTCTTCTGTATGTGTACTCATGTGTATATAAGAATATATGAGATATTTATATATATTTCTGTGTTTATTTTTTCCTTTCTTATATATTAGCTGCTTTTATTTTAAGTGTTGCATTGTGGCTGGACATTTGAATTTGGTGTTTTTTTCATGTGTGTGTGTATGCGTATATATTTTTCTATCCATTTCTATATATTTTAGTGTCTTTTTTGTGTTGTTCATTGATAAATATTTGTTTTTCTATTCTACCTCTTGAATTTTATCTTTTCAACCATTTTTATCTATATATCTTTGCCCATGTAAGTAATATTTTAATAGTCTGTATTCGTTTACTAACATATTCAAGTTTGAATATTTGTGGGTGTGTATATGCTCCACGCTTCTCAAGAAATTCCCGATTAATGGCCTCGCTGCCGGATGTAGTTTATCGTCATGCCCAGGACGGAAAAAATATGTTCGTTATGTACTAATTGATTAGATAGTTTCTAGCAGGAGTTACTGACAGCCAAGAAGTTATAAAACTTCCTAATTATTATATCTGGGGAGTGCTTTAAAATTATTCGCTAATCGTATGTGTATATCATCATCATTAATTCAGTTAGCGAAATTTGCGCCGGTGCTGTGGTGACAACCTGCCTCCATTTTCACTATTGGGGTCCGTGGTGACATTCAAGGCAGAATAGTTTAATGGCTTATAAATAGTTTCTTTAGCACCGGGGGTGCTGAGGTTTTTGCATCCCTCCTCTCAAGGAGTTCGCCCGCCCAACCCTAAAGGCGTTGACTTCCGAGGCGCAGCTCCTACACCCAGGCTGGCAATTGGCTTGGGACACGTGGAGCGTTCCGTTTCACCAGTCGGGTCGGGAAACTCACCCGTTAACTTCACACAGCTTATCCGGCAGGTCGATACCGTTGATTGGGGTGTGGCCGTTCCAGTGACCATGCGATTGCTTCGAGCTATGTTTGAGAGTTGAATGTAGGCTGTGAACCAGTAGAGTTCCGCATCCCAATTCACCTAACTAAAATAGCAACGGAACTCCCACTAACAATACACCCATACGCCCTAGTTATACTTTATACGAGCGTTCGGTTAGCACGGTCGAATATACGGTCTTTAAACTACAATCTTCCATGAATCTCTCACGTACATTCATATCTGCTCAAAGCGTATCCAAATGTAAACAAATGAAAATTTCTCGGACATTCAGGCCGGTAAATGTTATTTAATACTGTTTATTATAAGCAGAGCCTTTACTTAAATATTTGTATCTATAAAAAGAATGTATAAACATAAAAATGTCTTACAATAATTGTCGGGCTTTGTCCATTTCATAATGTGTGACGTCATTTCTTTACATTTGGATACGCCATGAGCAAATATAAATCTATGTAAGAGATACATGGAAGATTGAAGTTTCAATACATTAAATTCGACCTTGCTAACCGAACGCTCCTCTGTGGCCAAATCGGTAAAGGCACGTCAAGCTAAATGACGGTTCCGTATAGGATACAGGTTCGAATCCTGTCGGAGTACGAATATTTTCTGTGAAAATTTCTCGGACATTCAGGCCGGTAAATGTTGTTTAATACTGTTTATTGTAAACAGAGCATTTACTTAAATATTTGTATCTATAAAAAGAATGTATAAACGCAAAAATGTCTTAAAATAATTGTCTGACTTTGTCCATTTCATAACGTGTGACGTCATTTGTTTACATTTGATACGACATGAGCAGATATGAATGTACGTGAGAGATTACATAAATATGTTATAAAATCACTACAAAAGTAGCCATTTTGTTTCAACACTTCTGTGTCTTATCAATTGATGGTGTTGAATGTAGAATAAAAGGTTTGAAAAGCTTCAAATTAAACAGACACCCCTTGCTAGAGAAAACGCGGTTACGTAAGCTGGAATGACCAATCAAAATACAAGTATATGAGAATTCAAAAAACTTGAAAACGAACTAAGGTTATAATAATTATTTAATTCTTTAATGTTGGAGTTAGACTAAAATAAAATTTATTTAAAATTTATTCTAACTAATAAATATTAAACTATACTATAAAATTAAAAGTTAAAAATTACCAATTTTAAATTTAATCCATATTAAGTTTTAAAATTTAATCTATATTAAAAATGTTAATAATTATTTAAATAAATTTTAATAAATTTTAAATAATTATTTTAGTAATTTTAATAAATTTTAAATAAATTTAAAAATATTTTAAATTTAATCTGTACTAATTTTAATTTTAATCCACATTGTATACTATTTTAAGAATAGTATTTGTTGGGTATTGGAATTTATTATGTATATGTACCAATTCGTTACTTGTGTGTATATATGTATATATATATATATATATATATATATATATATATATATTTTGTGTGCTGCATATTTTAATCATAATATGCCTCATTAAATAATTTATACTAGTTTTGTCTACTTATTTTTAATATGATCTTCACATATTGACGCACAAGCTTTTTAGTATCCTTATTAAAGGAAGAAAGAAAGTTAACATATTGATGCATATTCATTTATTCTGAGTACTTTCGACATTAGCAAAATGTCTTCTTCAGGGTTTTGTTTTATCAGGGTCAGGTTTTATCTAAGACAATTTTTTTGTGTTTATCTGAAAATTAATTTTTTTTTTGAGTGAAAAACGCTAAACTTATGTACTGTACGATTTTAAAATTTTATGATGTCAGCAAGGTTAAGGAAGGTAACTCGCTTATTAAGATGTCTATCTTTTAAAAACTATTTAAAGCTATTAAATTAAATTTAATAGTTTAAAATATGTACATTTTAAAATATTGGTGCAGTATTCATAAATAATTTTATATATAAGCATATATATACCTGCATACATTTTACACATATATGTACACACATTTTATTCAGATACATATATATATATACATATACATATGCATACACACTTTTTTTCAGATATATATATATATATATATATATATATATATATATATATATATATATATAAGGACTTTGGTTAAGTTTTTATTTAATTTTTCTTATATTCTTATACTTTTCTTCTTTTCTGGACATAAATTATGCAGAAATTGTTCGAATGTTCTGGATGTTCGAACACTTTTGGCTATACTTTAGCCATTATCAAGGGTGATTTTATTTTTACTTTAACTGAGTGTTTGAATTGTTTTATGTATATATCTAGTTATATGCTGTTTTATTTTGCAAACATGGTCAGAACATGTGGCCGTGTTCATAGTTGATATTATTGAGTGTTAGCTTTTTCTTTTTTTATTAATAATGCTTCCATTATTTTTTAGCCATTTTTACTTGTGAATAAAGCTACTTTATTTGTATTATCAACGAGTATGTGCTTTAAGGGACTGTGTTACTGACTAATCCAAATTCATGAATAATTATATTGGATATACAACAACATGTCTAACGAGAAGACTCACATTACATGTCACTGAGCATAGTTCCATTAGGTTTCATTGAAATACACACGGGGGCCTACCAAACTCTATCCACAACATAATCGTTGATAATATACTATTTGTTTGTATATATATATATATATATATATATATATATATATATATATATATATATATATTCATTCAATGTGTTACGTCCAGGGCCGGATTTAATTCTTAAGAGCCCTCTGGGCTAATAGAATTTGGGGGCCCCTTCATTACGTATGCCCGTCCCGTTTGA